GTTCAATATTGTTCAATGTTGACAAACGACATACGTATGTACAAATTAACAGAACATATATAATACAAATATGTAATTCTTGAAGGATGTTGCAACTTACAGCTAACTTTTGAAATACAATAGTTAAATTAATAGCGAAAAATGACTGTCGTAAAATACTTATAATTAAGTGAAAAAAAAAAATATATATATATACTCAAATCAATCGACTACCGACTATACGCACGTATATATTCTTCACTTAGAGGTACCTACTCAACACCGGCACTAATTTATAAGGAATTGTACATCTTCTGGTTTTAAAATACCCACTCATTTGGAACAAAAGGCGCCTTTACTTGAACACTCCGGTTAAAATGAATTCTTAAATGCGATCAACACACACAACTGCAGGAGAATATACTTTTAAAGCGCAACTAAGTTCGTTATTTGTCCACCGTTGTTTTGGCATTAGTTTATTAAACTTAGAGAGCATATATCACGATCTACATTACTTAAAAGATAGCAGTTAATTATTTACTATTAATTAACTTTTCTGGCAAATGTAGCCCAACAACGGCACCGGGAAAATATTAGAAGGAGCCTTCTAATGGTAGAACACGTTCAATAAGGAATCCTTGCAGACTGCAGAAAAACATACTTGGTCCCATTAGTTGGACGTTGTTCAACTTGCAGGGGCAGTAATGTTTGCTTGTGCAAGGGTTGCTTCCACGAGGCGCTTGTGTTTCCCGACAAGTTCCGGGAGATCGTATGCAATGGCCACATCGAGCCTATTGATGGGACATCCCCTGAAGTAGGTGCATGTTGCCGATAATGGCTGAAACTCGTATAGAGGATTCAATTTGAAGAAATCCCGATAGACTTCGGGATCGGGCAAATCATATCGAGAGATGTTTGTCAGTGTCGAAAGGCCTTCGTAGATATGGTAATCTTGAGGATGTTCGGTTATTTGATCGGCTATCTGCTTCTTATTTCCGAATACAGATTTGTGGTTGTAATATGTCGTTAAATAACAATCTACCATTTTAGCATGGTTTCTAACGCGTACCTAAAAATTAACACATTATACAGTATTATTTTAAATTATGTAATTTATTTGATTAAAATTTTCAATAAAAATGACGCTTCGTATCATTATCAGTTCTTTTTTATCAGCTGGCTCTGCTCTTCATTTTACCTTGATGAGTATCACATATCGATAACACTGACGGACTCTATTCAGTATTATTTACTGTTCGTGTAGTATACGGTAAAAGTCGGGCCATAGTGGTGTGGTAATGTTGATTATGATTAGTAAAATAATGTGTGTATTTTGATTGTTTATATCGTGAACTCTTTAATTATCTAATAATCTTGGGTGAATGAAAAGGAAAATGATTTCAACTTCGATACGTGAGCGATCAGGTAATTAGTATTTTCTTGAAAAGATCAGGTACTCTGTCCAATAACATTTGAAATAGTTTCCGAACTTGGTACACAATTATCTTGTTTAGAGTTTATTTGATTTGCGTCTGCTTCAAAAATAATAAACTATTTCGAAAGTCAAAGAATAAACGAGTTGCCCTATTATCTAATTAAGTAAGAGATGTTTAGTCATTTTTAATTTAGAAAAGTTAGAATAGGTATTTTTTGTCACTTACAGCAAATCTTCTTGCGCTAGCTATTTTGTTTTCAATTCGTTTGTCAACTGCTGATCGGAGATCTTTAAGAAAAGCCCTTTCCTGTGCTTGTAGTAGCCTCACAGGTGCCCAAGGTTCGTAGGGTCTTGACCAAAGAGAAGTTGTATACATAATTGGGGGTTGAGCTGACGACATAAGGGGGGATATATTCCATATTAGCGACCCTTGCACTCTCATTAGTTCCTCAGGTTTCACCTGATCTGCTTTGTTTAACACTATCCTTGTCTGCCAAAAGGAAAATAATACATTTTAGTACTTACTGCATTGTAACTGAGGATCATTCTTTTACCTGATGTTCTCTTCCCTTCAACTGGTCCAAAATAGCTTCCGTTTCTGGTCCTACATCCAATTTCGAAGGGTCGTATACTAGAAATATAATGTCTGCTCTGTCTATGAACCACTGGCAAGCGTCGTTGAATGGAAATACTCGAGACACTTGTTTTCGAACTTCTAAAATACCAGGAATTTCAACGATGTTTACCTAAAAAATGTCCCCAGTTTTAAATTTTTTCTTAGAGCCAGTTGGATTTAGCATTACCTTTTCTAGTAAGGGTTTGGGCAATTTGTATCCCTTTAGGCGTTCTTCTAATCCTTGACCGAATTTTTGCAATCCCGAAAATGTGTAATCGGCGGCTAGTTGGGTACCATCAAGAATTTCGGACTCATTTGCGTACATGAGGATATTGAAATACGCGGGCGAAGGTTCGGCTCCTTGGGATGTTTTAAACATTAGGGAAATATTATTAATTATTTATAGTTTTGGCATATTAACAAACCTGTCCTTAACGATGTTTCGTCATACTCGTTATCGAGAAGATAGTTGATTATGGAGGATTTACCACCGCTCCATGGACCCATGAAAAGGATAAGTGGCTTGGAAAATATTTCTGGATCACCGAAGTGTCTGTTACTAAGGTCCCTGTATTTGTATAAAGTTTCCAAAGGCTTTATAGCATTTTCATAAACTTTTTTAAGTTCTCTTAGAGTTATTTCAGAAACCCTGTCGACTATTTCTTCAATTTTCTCGGATTCTTCGTCCAATTTTAGTAGTTGGTAGATATGATCTCTAGGTCTTGCATCTGCAGGTTCTTCATACACTTGGGACAATTCTTCTTCTGGAGTACCATCCTCGTCGCTGTCATCATCGTCATCATCTCCGTTTCCATCTTTTTCACCACTATCATCGTCTTCCTTGCTATCATTTTTGCCATTGGATTCACCATCTGAAAATTTTAATGAAGGAAGAAACGAAAATGAATTAATGTAATTTCATTGACTCTACCGTCATCTTCTTTGCTTTCGTCTCTTTTTTCACGAGTTCTTTTGCTATCATCGTCATCGTCATCGTCGGTCTTAGCACTTCCAGCTGTGGTTTTGACTTCTTCTTTGCTATCGTCGTTTTTATCTTCTTTACTATCGTCATCCTTTTGGTCTTCTTTGCTATCATCGTCCACTTTTTGATCTTCTTTACTATCATCGTCGACCTTTTGATCTTCTTTGCTGTCGTCATCCTTTTGATCCTCTTTGCTATCATTTTTATCGTCATCTTCTTTGCTATCATTCTTATCGTCTTCCTTGCTGTCATCATTGTCTACTTTCTCTTCTTCGCTGTCATCTTTGTTACCGGCGGCGTCATCTTCTTTGCTGTCATCATCATCATCGTCTGTAGCGTTAGGCTGGGCTTCGTCAGAATCGTCTTTGTCTTCATGGGAGTCATCTGGCTTATCGTCCGGTTGAGCACTTTGTGTAGTTTGCGTATTCTCAATTTTATTTACCTACCAAAATGATTACTGAAGTAAACAAAACGTATATCGCTTTCCCCGTCAATCTTCGTGTAAGTTTGGGAAACATGAACTTTGACATTCAGAGTGATTTTTTTTTCTTTTATTGAACAATTATAGGAGAAACTTACTGAAGATTGAGAGGTTGGCTGAGACCGATTTAATACCAACCTCTTCTTCAACGCTATCCTCTTCTCCTGATTTGTCGGATTCGTCACCGTCTTTCTGAAAATTGTAGTTATAATACGTAGATAAAGTTAAGTAGGTACTAAATCCGATTCGAAATTCTAAACTTCGTTTTTAAGATATGAATTTAAATTTTGATATTCAGTTACCTCGGCGCTATCGGTATCGTCGACCTTTTCGTTTTCTACACTTTCGTTGCTATCATTATCTTCTCCATCGGCATCGTCGTCTTTACCATTATTTGGTAAATCGGCATCGTCCGTTATCTCTACTGTTGGGATATCCTCCTTACTATCCCCATCATCCTTTTCTCCGCCTTCTCCAGTTTCAAGTTCCTTCAGCGCTTTCTCGATATAAGGACGACATTCGGATTCGGAGGGGCCCTCAGACTCAGCCTCACCTTGCACTCCTATAATTTATTACGAATTTAAGTAAGTGTGAGGGATTTTGGAAACGGTCGGGGATTGTTGTGGGTACAATTTTGAAGATTTGATCTTCCATTCTTTTTTAGACAAACATTTCAATATTAGCGAACTCGAAAGATCGCTATCCTGAAGTTATTTAATGTTTGGTTTACTTATTGTTAAAGATTTACTCTAATCACGTAAGAATGTGAAACAGAGAGACCTGTCTGTTCTTATTCGTAAATGTTGTCTAAAATTATAATTACGATTTTTAAATATTGTAGGACCTAGTAATGTTTTCCAGTGAGGTTTTAATTAAGAATTTACTAATTAAATAATTGTGTAAAACTATTTAATCAATTGAATATAAAATTGACTGAACTTAATTCACATTTGACTTTAATTAGTTTTGTTGTAAATGCAAACTTTTGGGTGATCGCTATTTTTTTAATGTTATTTTTGATTAATAGATATTGGAGAATTGGAAATAGATTTTATGTTTATTATCTGACAGATTTTCAATATACATAAAAAATTATTTGGTTGGAAGACAAATATCTGAAGAAAATAGGAAATTACTTTGGCTTTTCAAGCGCAGATCGGTAAGCATGGATTAAAATCTTGTCAACTTCGAACATCAATCACTTCCGATCGTATTGAAAGTAATTTAAAGACGGGGAAATAAATTTAAAAGGATTTAACCGCATTCCTGATTGTGAAAAATTTGCAGCGTCATAATTATAGTTTCGTTTGTAAATAAGAATAACATTTAACAACTTATAAGAGACAAAATATTATAGTGAAAAGCATCGATAAAACTTTTTCCGAAAATAAGGAATACTTATATAACAACATTGGCAAGAAATATTACGAAAAGTAAAAAAGTACCTTTGGCTTTTGAAAAACAGCCAAAATCCGTTTTTGAATAAAATGATATTTCCTTTTTCGTACTGAATCCTATAGGGCTCCGATAAAAAGAACCAATTTAACAAGCAAAATGATATTTTTAAGTAAGATGACTGTGTACACTCGCAATAAACAGAAAACGAATAAATTTCTTTAAGTTAAATATTTCGGTAATAACTTGTGAATAACGTATTTAGCTCCGACCTCGATTCAATTGCAAAATCTGGACGCCGACTAAAGTTAGCTTCATTTCATTTAATCCGAAAATACGATAAAAAAAACAGCGACAACTTTTGCCATCGGTTACGTACATTTAACTTTTAAGGAATTTTGACTTTAGAAAAAAAATGTTGAGAGTATTTAATGATACTAATAGCCAAAATGGCATTGGGCCAGTGTAACAGCTGTTGGTTTATATTTTGTACAATTATTGTAAAATGAAAACGATAGCGCTCTGAACGTATAACGTCATTTGGATATTAGTTATAAAAATTAAAAACACTCGTATCGAGTTTGTAATCTTGAAAATATGAGTTTTAATTTTCTTCTTTTTTCGAAAAACTGTGGGTAGTTTGGTACGTGTGTGTCTATATTATATTTAGAACGAAGTCTAGGATAACCGTAGCTGGCTCGTTGCCTAGTAGGTATGTCGTCAAATGCATCAGGTTTAGCTACTTTTAGGCTAGAGATCTTGTGTTTATTTGAAAATTAAAATCTACTTAAATAATCTTACAGGCATCGCCTTTCGCATTAATTTAAAAGGTCCTAATTTGGGTCCTGAAGGAGTAGCCGAAAATAGGGGTTTCTAACGACCTGCGATACATCCTAAAATAGCACTAGAGATGTATATTCAGATTTTAGAATTTCCTCGCGGACGTTACATAACACTGTTATCACTTGATATCACCAATATCACACATTCGCACACAACTTTCGTCCTCTTTGATTAGCAACACCACATTTTTTTTTTCTTTCGACACTCAAAGGACTTTTTTCCCGGCGGTGTTTTCAAAAGGGGGGTGATGATGGAATTGGTCGAGGACGAAACGTAAAGTAGTAAACGTACCCTGCAAGACGGCCGTGAGTAGTACAACACCCAGTAGCAGCGATAGCCATGAGGACATCTTCCGGGCCTCCATGGCTTAGGAGATGTTCACTCTACTCGTTACATGAAAGCTATGCACTGAGCGCCCAAATTGTGTTTGCCCATCCTCGACCGTGTGTGGCTATCGACGCCAGCAACCGCATTCGAAAATTCTTTTAATAGATCCCGGCAATCATTAAAAAAAAATCAAAGCTTCGTTATTGTCTCCCTTGCAGAAACTGGTCACGCCGAACAGCTCCTAATCCACTGCTTATTGTCGTTATTGGATTACTTCATGATCCGCAACGATTTAAAACCAATCAAACAGTCATATGTCCGTTTTTTTTTTCTGGGAAACCCTATGGAAATTCCATTCTCCAGAAAAACATTTAATGGTCAAAAAATTATAGATACTCAAAGCGTAATGTAGCTATCTCAAGGTCATTTTAACTACATACAGGTAATAGGTACAGTAAACATATATAACTTTTAAAAAAATCCCCTTCACCCACATGGATCTGATGGGAGAATTTTGATATAACTCATAAAAACGTTCTAAATAAGTTTAACGCCAAACGCTCTTTTAGTACTTTTTGGTAACTTTTCTGGGATTTCTCAGGGTTGTTTATAATAGATACTTTTTGAAATTACTTATATAGATTTTGACCAGGTGCAGAGTTTTTTTCAAAACTGCCTACTTTCTTGATGACAGAGAAGCGACGTGGGAAAATTGTGGACGGTGACGGCGAGAAGAATTTCTGAATCATGGGTTATAGATTTATCTTTTCGGTTGTGTGATTTGCAAACAAGAAAGCCGTGCAAGAAAATGGAAAAATTTGACCCGATTATGTGCGGTTCATTTATTTTAATGTTCGTTGCTAAAAGCCGATGTAAATCTATAAAGCGAATTTGGCGTGTCTGGAACTACGTAAGAATACCTGACGTAGGGTTTTATGCTTATGTCATTATGGTATTCTAAATTTACATGAAATGTCTATGATGTGTATAACTAAATTAGAAACTGTTTGTAAAACTTCGCCTACGCATTTCATTACAAAACATGAGATATTTCAAAAAGTGTAACACGATAGCCAACCGAAAAGCTTTTCAGTTTATTTCACATACTTTCCGTGGAAAAGTATTCGCCGATAATTTCACCGGCCAGTTGGGAATTTTCTAATTAAATGATTAAATGAGAAACGACCTTTTTTCGGTCATGAAATTAAAAATATATGGCGAAAAATAATTTTTGAAATTCAGTCCTTGATAAAATTATACGACGACATATTGTCTAAAGGAACTTTTTATAATCCATCTCTTCCAGCCAATCTGGTTTGGAACAGTAACATTGTTAATGAGTGCAATAAACATTACGAAGTAATTGGTAATGCAACAGTAAAAACAGAAATAGTAATGAGAAATGCAGTGAATTGCAATTTTAAAGAGACATTACAGCGTGAATTTTATACCAATGTCACACACAACCGTTTATAAATAGAGCGAAGATAAAAATAATTTGAGATACTATTTTCTCTCATTGTCAGCTTCAAAACCTTCGACATCCCGAGTACATACATACGTATCAGCATTGCTGTGACAGTAGCGCGGCGAAGGTTTAGTCAAAATATAAATTCCAAAAACTGCTTTACTTCATTATTTTGCTTTTCAAGCTACGTATTCATATTAGGACGTTGTTTATCGCAAATATTTAGCACAAGCGATAAAAGAAAAAAGGGAATTAATTTTTAGGGTTCTCTACGTCCGAATATAAAACGGAACCCATATAGGGTCACTCGTGTGTCTGTCTGTGGTTTTTTTTTAAATTTTGAACATGAAAATTCAATAATTCACCAATCAAATGGGATGATATAGACAAAAGTTGCTCTATTTATCGGGTAAAAGCAAAAAGCTTGATTTACTATTAGAAATTTTAGAAATAACCGGAGCCAAAGGCAGTAATAAATTTTTACTGAACGACCAAATTCATTCCGATGCTTTAGACCTTCTAGTAGATAATAAAATTGTAAAGCAGGCGAAGTTATCATCGCTTAATAGCCGAAACTATTGTCAGATTTTCTAAATAAATTTGCGGAACAAAAACCAAATGTTTTGACGTTTTTAAATTCGTTTTCGTTATAAGCTCAATTTAGAATTACATTGAAAAGTAATAAGATTGGGAAATTTTTGAAGTTAAAGATGCGGAAAGTATGTTTTTCAGTTTTAGATTCGTTTCAGTTAGAAATTTGGCCCCAAAGGATAAAAGTCCATGTAACTTGAGTGGATAATGTTATACATACATAAGTTTGCTTCTTCCTTTCTCGCTAACTCCTTCTAAAAATCCAAATACATTTTCTTATGTTTACAATTGATATATCGATTTCAAGTGCATATTGATGTAATGGATCCGTTGAGATGCCAGAACTATTATACGTATGGTAGGTGTTAAGTCCTTGGGGGGTCAACAGGACGTACGTTGTTCAAAACCTTCCTGGGTTAATGGTAATATTAAAACAGTGAAATCTCATCGAAATTTATGAGCAATTCTGAGAAATATATAGACACCAACTATGGTATTAAATTTATTGTGATTTGTGATATCCTGAATATTGTCCTGTAGAACTATATTAAACGTATTTCCAGTATAAGTAATTGCTTATAAAAAAGTTAAAAGTTAAAATTAATTTAAATTTCTATAGGAAAACAAATACTACATTGCCAAAAAGAATTCTGCAATCTTCAAAGTAAATTACGAAGTAGGTACTTCATGTAGAACTTTTATTAGACACTTATGCTTATTTTATTGTTCTTATTGTCTCAAATTTGTTCAAGTTAAAACGTTAGGGGTAATTAATTGTATAATTTTATTAGATTGGATCTCTAGTGTAAACAGTTTAATTGCATCAATTGTATTTGATAATTTAGTGAAAATTTGTGTCGAGTTAGTTAAGGAATTGTTATTCTTCAAAGGATTTATTTAGCCGATGCATAAAAACAATGCGTTTTGTGAAAAAAATTAGGAACCTTAATAAAACTTTTTGTGTTTATCGTTGGTAATAAATAAAACTGGAAATTACAGATCGTTTAATTCTTTTAATTCTTGCGCTTGGGGAAGCCCTGCTAGAGTGATTTTTATGCAAATGGTTTGTGAATGGCATTCCGTAGAACTAAATTAAACTTAAACTAATTTAAGAAACGAAATTGAATTAAACGGCTACCAATTTCATTGTCTTGCCCAGACCCAAATTTAAGGATGCAAAATGTATAAAATTTCTTTTTAAAGGATCGCACAGGCGGCAGATTTCAAGTCTGTAATCTATTTTACATCGTGTATTAAATTTGTCCAATTCGCAACGAATTCTATTGTCTGTTTGTACTTGTTTCAAGTTTTTAAAAGTGAATTTAAAAATTAGTCAAAGCTTTTGCAGCGTTTGCTTGATAATGAAATGTTTCTTTCTGAGAATGGTACAGTCGTGTTGATGGATTTTGGCTTCTCAACGTTTCGTTGACGCGCACAACTAGCGGTTATCTTTGATTATTGAATAAAATTGAAAACTTTAAAACCTTCTGTACATTTTAGGACAATTGTGTAATAAATCTTATTCTAATGTGTGGAGTTCTTTCTGAGATACTTGCGGACAAACAAATGTACATTAGTTTTTGGAATTATATTAAAAATATCCGAAACGTCGTGACCTAATTTTGTTCTACCAGTAAAAAGAATTATGCTTTCATTACCTGTGTCATCAGAATAATGCTTGCCGTGCTCTAGGATTGTGTTTCTTTCGGTGAGAAGTCCTTTACAACCACAGCTAAGGACTTAACACCTCCCTAGGTTTCCTGAGGATGCTGATTGAAGGAGAAACGATCCTAGATCGCGATCATCAAGCCCGAATATCAAACATTATTCAGATTTGCTCTAGTAACTTGATAAATCGATTTGTACTTGAACGTAAAGTTTCTTTGAACCATTAAATACAGAATTCCATTGTGCGCTGATAAGGGGAGGGTTCGTATTAAGGGCTGCTTTTGAAACATGTGTAATTAATTATTTAGATACACATATGACACCTAATGGCAGTCGACAGTTACAACGGACATACGAGGGTGGATTGATAAGTTTCCGGCCTGACCAAGAAAAACAAGGTTTTAAAAATTTTTTTTTTTTTATTTCTCAACATGATCTCCTCCAAGGCTGATACATTTCTCATAGCGGTGTTCCAGTCTATTAATGCCATCTCTATAGACTGATTNAATAAAAAGACTGTAATACTTGTCAAAGGAACTATATTTTTTCTATCGTATAAAATACAATAAAATGTGCGTCATGTATTTCATATATAAACGTTAACCGACGATTGGCTTTTTGCGTTTTCTAATTCTATAGCTGCAATATATTCGCAAAAATATACTCAGAAATACCAGAAAAATTCCGAATACACCGAATAAACTGATTTTATGATGATAAATTACACAACTGAGTAGTATAGAGAAACCCTGTCTTATTGTTGTTATAATGGCAAAGACAAGAGGGCCAAACGTGGAAATTGTTTTAAATATAAATAGTTGACCTCCCGCCGAGCAAACTGATAACAGTACACAGTCAAAACAGAATTTTGGAAATTGCGTCATAAAATTAAAGGAGCTAATTAAACTTCCCTGTTGTAGTAACGATACCGCTGTAAAAGTGCAGGAAAATAAATTAATTGCGCACATCATTTGTAATGAACTCATTCCATACTGTTTAAAAAGTACTCCTTGCCAATTTGATGTAAAACTATCAAATATAACGTAGGAACAAAGGAGTAAAATACCAAAGAATGTTGTAGTTCTCGAGCCTAAAACAACATTTTTTTTAAATGATGTAAATGCACTATACACTTTTTACCATTATTTTCATCTCCACTGTTGAGCATAAAAAATAACATTCCTAGGGACAAAATAGATGCTGTTACATATTCATAAAATTCATATGTTGTCTTAGAAACTATTTTGCCCATTATCATTACAGGGATTGTTTTAGCTGCTTTTGCTAAAACCTAAAATAATAATTACACAAATATTTTCTCTTAATATTTGTAATCAACCTGATGTGGGAAAGAAACATATTTTAAAGCTTCATATTGACACCATGAGCTCATAATATTTGAGAAAGAGCAATAGACATATTTGTATAAAGGTGCTTTGTGACGTGGTTGCCTTGTACAAGCTATTATTAAACCTGATAATGTAAATGCCAAAATCCTATTTACAAAGACTAAAAACTGTGAATCCTTGAAACGTCCTTTTTCTCCTAACGAATTTGTATAGTCCTAAAACAGGACCTGAGGTACAAAACTATAATATATGGATCAGTTTCTTGTACTTGGGTCATAACTTTTTCTTGTAATACACCCCATACCAAATATGAAACTTGTAAACCCAGAAAATAAAATGTTAACAAAAAAGCATCATATAATAATCCTTTGTTAGGTGTTGCAAGGACAGGTGATGCAGTAGTGTGGTCAGGAAGTTCTTCATAACCAAAGCATGCTCTAATAATGAAACTAAAAGTTGTGTTACCTAAAAAATATTTTTATTAAGTAATTGTTATTAGTCGCTGAATTTAAGGACCTGGTCTTTCCAGATAATTGATCTTTCTTGTATATTTAAAAATTAAATATCCAGGTATAAACACTGTTGAATATCCTAAAATGTTTTGTATACCATGAATAAGCCAGCTATATTCTGGTAATAATTTTTGAAGCAATTTCAGTTCAGAAAAAGATTTATTTATCAGGAGCAACAGTCCAACTGTTAGCAAAATAGTTACACTACAAGTTGAACAACAAATATTAGAGTATTAAAAATATGCTATAAGAACTTCTTACCTTATTATAGTTTCTGGCACATATTTGGCCATGATAATTGAAGGTTTTAAACGATATTATGCATTTTAGAAGTCAAACAGATGTTTACATTTTGTCAAGTACCTTTTATTGTTACTTTTTGCTAAAATATTCATAAAATCATCATGTTACTTCTGACGCAATATATGGCTTAAATTTTAGGGTTAGAAGTACATATTTATTAAGTAATTTCTGTTTTAAAGTACAATTAACTACTATAAATAAAATGCTCTTACATTATTAATAACCAGGTATTGGTAATTTTTCATAAAATAAAAAATATATGCGAATTAAACTTAAAAAAATATAGTGAATTTTTGTATTTATGTAAGGTTATGTAGAACTGACAACTATAGAAGTGAGATATCAATGATTAATTTTCTTCTTATAGATACATCTATATCAACTATTAAATGGGTGCATTCATTGTAGTGAAGTGAAAGTATTTAAATGCAAATCGGAGATTAGCAGAATTGTTTAAAATTTACCATTTTAAATAGCCATTTATGTTTATGAAGATAAAATAATTAATTTTTAAATTAACAATTTATTAATAAAGTACAGTTAGTTCAATATTGTTCAATGTTGACAAACGACATACGTATGTACAAATTAACAGAACATATATAATACAAATATGTAATTCTTGAAGGATGTTGCAACTTACAGCTAACTTTTGAAATACAATAGTTAAATTAATAGCGAAAAATGACTGTCGTAAAATACTTATAATTAAGTGAAAAAAAAAAATATATATATATACTCAAATCAATCGACTACCGACTATACGCACGTATATATTCTTCACTTAGAGGTACCTACTCAACACCGGCACTAATTTATAAGGAATTGTACATCTTCTGGTTTTAAAATACCCACTCATTTGGAACAAAAGGCGCCTTTACTTGAACACTCCGGTTAAAATGAATTCTTAAATGCGATCAACACACACAACTGCAGGAGAATATACTTTTAAAGCGCAACTAAGTTCGTTATTTGTCCACCGTTGTTTTGGCATTAGTTTATTAAACTTAGAGAGCATATATCACGATCTACATTACTTAAAAGATAGCAGTTAATTATTTACTATTAATTAACTTTTCTGGCAAATGTAGCCCAACAACGGCACCGGGAAAATATTAGAAGGAGCCTTCTAATGGTAGAACACGTTCAATAAGGAATCCTTGCAGACTGCAGAAAAACATACTTGGTCCCATTAGTTGGACGTTGTTCAACTTGCAGGGGCAGTAATGTTTGCTTGTGCAAGGGTTGCTTCCACGAGGCGCTTGTGTTTCCCGACAAGTTCCGGGAGATCGTATGCAATGGCCACATCGAGCCTATTGATGGGACATCCCCTGAAGTAGGTGCATGTTGCCGATAATGGCTGAAACTCGTATAGAGGATTCAATTTGAAGAAATCCCGATAGACTTCGGGATCGGGCAAATCATATCGAGAGATGTTTGTCAGTGTCGAAAGGCCTTCGTAGATATGGTAATCTTGAGGATGTTCGGTTATTTGATCGGCTATCTGCTTCTTATTTCCGAATACAGATTTGTGGTTGTAATATGTCGTTAAATAACAATCTACCATTTTAGCATGGTTTCTAACGCGTACCTAAAAATTAACACATTATACAGTATTATTTTAAATTATGTAATTTATTTGATTAAAATTTTCAATAAAAATGACGCTTCGTATCATTATCAGTTCTTTTTTATCAGCTGGCTCTGCTCTTCATTTTACCTTGATGAGTATCACATATCGATAACACTGACGGACTCTATTCAGTATTATTTACTGTTCGTGTAGTATACGGTAAAAGTCGGGCCATAGTGGTGTGGTAATGTTGATTATGATTAGTAAAATAATGTGTGTATTTTGATTGTTTATATCGTGAACTCTTTAATTATCTAATAATCTTGGGTGAATGAAAAGGAAAATGATTTCAACTTCGATACGTGAGCGATCAGGTAATTAGTATTTTCTTGAAAAGATCAGGTACTCTGTCCAATAACATTTGAAATAGTTTCCGAACTTGGTACACAATTATCTTGTTTAGAGTTTATTTGATTTGCGTCTGCTTCAAAAATAATAAACTATTTCGAAAGTCAAAGAATAAACGAGTTGCCCTATTATCTAATTAAGTAAGAGATGTTTAGTCATTTTTAATTTAGAAAAGTTAGAATAGGTATTTTTTGTCACTTACAGCAAATCTTCTTGCGCTAGCTATTTTGTTTTCAATTCGTTTGTCAACTGCTGATCGGAGATCTTTAAGAAAAGCCCTTTCCTGTGCTTGTAGTAGCCTCACAGGTGCCCAAGGTTCGTAGGGTCTTGACCAAAGAGAAGTTGTATACATAATTGGGGGTTGAGCTGACGACATAAGGGGGGATATATTCCATATTAGCGACCCTTGCACTCTCATTAGTTCCTCAGGTTTCACCTGATCTGCTTTGTTTAACACTATCCTTGTCTGCCAAAAGGAAAATAATACATTTTAGTACTTACTGCATTGTAACTGAGGATCATTCTTTTACCTGATGTTCTCTTCCCTTCAACTGGTCCAAAATAGCTTCCGTTTCTGGTCCTACATCCAATTTCGAAGGGTCGTATACTAGAAATATAATGTCTGCTCTGTCTATGAACCACTGGCAAGCGTCGTTGAATGGAAATACTCGAGACACTTGTTTTCGAACTTCTAAAATACCAGGAATTTCAACGATGTTTACCTAAAAAATGTCCCCAGTTTTAAATTTTTTCTTAGAGCCAGTTGGATTTAGCATTACCTTTTCTAGTAAGGGTTTGGGCAATTTGTATCCCTTTAGGCGTTCTTCTAATCCTTGACCGAATTTTTGCAATCCCGAAAATGTGTAATCGGCGGCTAGTTGGGTACCATCAAGAATTTCGGACTCATTTGCGTACATGAGGATATTGAAATACGCGGGCGAAGGTTCGGCTCCTTGGGATGTTTTAAACATTAGGGAAATATTATTAATTATTTATAGTTTTGGCATATTAACAAACCTGTCCTTAACGATGTTTCGTCATACTCGTTATCGAGAAGATAGTTGATTATGGAGGATTTACCACCGCTCCATGGACCCATGAAAAGGATAAGTGGCTTGGAAAATATTTCTGGATCACCGAAGTGTCTGTTACTAAGGTCCCTGTATTTGTATAAAGTTTCCAAAGGCTTTATAGCATTTTCATAAACTTTTTTAAGTTCTCTTAGAGTTATTTCAGAAACCCTGTCGACTATTTCTTCAATTTTCTCGGATTCTTCGTCCAATTTTAGTAGTTGGTAGATATGATCTCTAGGTCTTGCATCTGCAGGTTCTTCATACACTTGGGACAATTCTTCTTCTGGAGTACCATCCTCGTCGCTGTCATCATCGTCATCATCTCCGTTTCCATCTTTTTCACCACTATCATCGTCTTCCTTGCTATCATTTTTGCCATTGGATTCACCATCTGAAAATTTTAATGAAGGAAGAAACGAAAATGAATTAATGTAATTTCATTGACTCTACCGTCATCTTCTTTGCTTTCGTCTCTTTTTTCACGAGTTCTTTTGCTATCATCGTCATCGTCATCGTCGGTCTTAGCACTTCCAGCTGTGGTTTTGACTTCTTCTTTGCTATCGTCGTTTTTATCTTCTTTACTATCGTCATCCTTTTGGTCTTCTTTGCTATCATCGTCCACTTTTTGATCTTCTTTACTATCATCGTCGACCTTTTGATCTTCTTTGCTGTCGTCATCCTTTTGATCCTCTTTGCTATCATTTTTATCGTCATCTTCTTTGCTATCATTCTTATCGTCTTCCTTGCTGTCATCATTGTCTACTTTCTCTTCTTCGCTGTCATCTTTGTTACCGGCGGCGTCATCTTCTTTGCTGTCATCATCATCATCGTCTGTAGCGTTAGGCTGGGCTTCGTCAGAATCGTCTTTGTCTTCATGGGAGTCATCTGGCTTATCGTCCGGTTGAGCACTTTGTGTAGTTTGCGTATTCTCAATTTTATTTACCTACCAAAATGATTACTGAAGTAAACAAAACGTATATCGCTTTCCCCGTCAATCTTCGTGTAAGTTTGGGAAACATGAACTTTGACATTCAGAGTGATTTTTTTTTCTTTTATTGAACAATTATAGGAGAAACTTACTGAAGATTGAGAGGTTGGCTGAGACCGATTTAATACCAACCTCTTCTTCAACGCTATCCTCTTCTCCTGATTTGTCGGATTCGTCACCGTCTTTCTGAAAATTGTAGTTATAATACGTAGATAAAGTTAAGTAGGTACTAAATCCGATTCGAAATTCTAAACTTCGTTTTTAAGATATGAATTTAAATTTTGATATTCAGTTACCTCGGCGCTATCGGTATCGTCGACCTTTTCGTTTTCTACACTTTCGTTGCTATCATTATCTTCTCCATCGGCATCGTCGTCTTTACCATTATTTGGTAAATCGGCATCGTCCGTTATCTCTACTGTTGGGATATCCTCCTTACTATCCCCATCATCCTTTTCTCCGCCTTCTCCAGTTTCAAGTTCCTTCAGCGCTTTCTCGATATAAGGACGACATTCGGATTCGGAGGGGCCCTCAGACTCAGCCTCACCTTGCACTCCTATAATTTATTACGAATTTAAGTAAGTGTGAGGGATTTTGGAAACGGTCGGGGATTGTTGTGGGTACAATTTTGAAGATTTGATCTTCCATTCTTTTTTAGACAAACATTTCAATATTAGCGAACTCGAAAGATCGCTATCCTGAAGTTATTTAATGTTTGGTTTACTTATTGTTAAAGATTTACTCTAATCACGTAAGAATGTGAAACAGAGAGACCTGTCTGTTCTTATTCGTAAATGTTGTCTAAAATTATAATTACGATTTTTAAATATTGTAGGACCTAGTAATGTTTTCCAGTGAGGTTTTAATTAAGAATTTACTAATTAAATAATTGTGTAAAACTATTTAATCAATTGAATATAAAATTGACTGAACTTAATTCACATTTGACTTTAATTAGTTTTGTTGTAAATGCAAACTTTTGGGTGATCGCTATTTTTTTAATGTTATTTTTGATTAATAGATATTGGAGAATTGGAAATAGATTTTATGTTTATTATCTGACAGATTTTCAATATACATAAAAAATTATTTGGTTGGAAGACAAATATCTGAAGAAAATAGGAAATTACTTTGGCTTTTCAAGCGCAGATCGGTAAGCATGGATTAAAATCTTGTCAACTTCGAACATCAATCACTT